CTCTCTCCCAAACTCACGTCTTCTCCTCCAGAGGCAAAAGAAATGGCTGTCAGACTGTGATTGCTAATCTCCTACAATTCAATTCATCAAAAGCAATAAGAGGGCAATAGAGTGTATGAACATACCATTCCAGTGGTAGCACTTTTAATGAGGAGCTCCTCAACATCAATACAAAGATTAACCTCCTTACAACCATCAGTACAAATATCTATGAAGAAGGATAAGAGAGAGGGGGAGAGAGAAAGGGGGGAGAGAAAGGGGGGAGAGAAAGAGAGGTAGAGAGAGAGAGGGGGGGGGAGGGAAAGACATTCAACAGCTTGTATCCACAAGAAGGGGATGTACATGTACATGTATGTACATGTAGTAAGCTAATGCCATTCATACTGATAGTCATTAACAACTAATGTTCTAATGGGAATAATAACACTCAAATAACATCCCAACACAAACTTACTCTAATTCACTTTCTGATATCACAGAAAAAGAGAAAGGGGAGAGAGGGAGGGAGGTAGAGAGGGAGGGAGGGAGGGAGGGAGGGAGAGGGAGAGAGGGAGGGAGGGAGTGAGGGATGGAGGGAGGGAGGGAGAGAGAGAGAGAGAGAGAGAGAGAGAGAGAGAGAGAGAGAGAGAGAGAGAGAGAGAGAGAGAGAGAGAGAGAGATAAAAGGCCAATAAAGAGAAGGGTGGGGGAGAGTGAGAGTGTGAGATAAGACAAAGACAAAGAGGCCCAAAACACAAACACCATCTTGTTGTGTACTGACTCCATGCATCATTAGCTTCTATACTAACAATTCACACACCAAGTGACTACAAATGCCAAAGAAGGAATTTATAAGCTTTTCTTTTTCATAAAATAATCAAAAAATATGTACAAGAATGAAGAGTATGTGCTACAAGATTTGCTTTTTAGTTCTCTCATATTTCACAAAGCAATAAAAGACACAATTAGAACAATTTACATGCAAGCATAGTAGCAAATATATTATATTGTAACTATATACATGTACATGAACTGTAATATATACGCATGAACATACAGTGTATACATGTATAAGTGTATACACATCATCTATTATACATATAGATAGGGTTTAAAGTCAAGTACTAAGTAAAAGGTTAAGTAAACAATTAAAGGTCAAAGGGACATTAATACTGGCACCACTGGTTCTAGCAGGAGTATTTGGTTCTAGTACACTGTGTGTTAATGTAGGTTGTCTTACCTCCGAGGAGTCTTGAAATTTGTCTAGGAACCTGCACCAAAAAAACAATATACAATGATCTTAAACTACTCAAAATTACTAGATTATAATAATAAAGAATTCAAAAATACTTTTTAATTACTCAACCAGTGCCTGTGATCATTCACCCACCACCCAATTGCCCCCCCCATACATATAATACACAAGTACATTAAAAAGTATTTTAATGTACTTGTATACACATGTACATTAAATTAGTACATTGGGGTATACACATGTACTTGTACATACAGCTCCTAGTCTTCCCCTGGTCTTCTTCAAAGAGGAACTATGCAGTTATTAGTCCTAACATTAAAGCTGGACTCTTGACCTCAAGCAGTACATGTACATGTACAGCAATACATCATGTACACCACACACACACACACACACACACACACACACACACACACACACACACACACACACACACACACACACACACACACACACACACACACACACACACACACACACACACACACAGAGTTTGATAGTTCATTCATTACAATTTACAAATATTTATATACATGTACGTGTACACTTTAACCTCTACCATCATTAATATTACATTATTATTATTATTATCAAACTATTATTATTATAAAGACAGTCCATGAAGACTATCATTACATTACATGTGAACTCTTCATATTATTATTATTTTAGGTGATTGTTTTGACTAACTCTATGAGTATACAATACATTTTGGACTCCATTATAGGAGGTGTGTGTATCATGTGACAGTAATGTGTGTGACTGTGACTGTGTGTGGTAGATAATATTCAGCTTCTCTTGTATGGACATGGAGTTGTGAATGTATTTTTCGCTTACTTTTCTCTTTTTGCTTGCAATTCTCTCATTGTGTTCTGCTAGGATTATGATGGCTTCCCTGGAAGAAGTAAGAAAAAGTAAAATATTGTTTTAATTTCTTTCTATTTTTATCTTCCCCCCCCCCCTCTCTCCTTCTTTACCTTGTGGCTAATGTTCGTACTTGATACTGCAGCGATCTCATTGACTCTGTGATCTTGACACAACCAAAGTACTGTATTAATAGAAAAATGGATTAAAGAAGAATCAAAGTAGAGAAGGATGGGGGAAGGTACAAAGAAAGAAGATAAATATAGTACAAGGTAGGCCTTTTGTTCTTTCCTTACAGTTAGTTTGTATCTTATGTAAGATCCATCAGCAAGATCAGTGTCTTTGTGTAGCCACCCAGTGGCTGGTTTACGAACGAATGTACCAGTATCGGACCAGTCACCTCCGCCAGCTTCTCCTCCTCCACCTCCTCCTCTGTTTCGTGGCATCTTTCTTTCTAGCTGCTTTGTCTTTCTTGTTGTAATGAAATGTAGTCCAGCGGTCCTTCTTTTCCACTCCTTCAGTTGTTTCTTATTATTTTTAATAATTAATTAATTACAAGCCCGGCCCACTCAATCACGTGACATTAGATCTAGCTAATGAATAATAAAATTTGAGCATTCGAGCAAAATTAATTAAGATTTTGGACTGGACCCGTCATCGATAGGCCTTGGCGGATTATGCCAGCATAATTTTGAGCATAATAGGGCCCAAAAGCATAAGCATAATGTAAGCATAATAGGGCTATAAAAGAAAATTTTGAAAGAATACATTGAGAAATGCAATAAACAGGCACTTGCACTCAATAATTTTACTGTTTTTATATTTAAACAGCTACTATTGCTCACAATATACTTTAAGAACTTCATAATTGAATTACTGGGTCACATTTCTGGGTGGGGCTAAGTTATTATAATGAAATTCATAGGCATAATTGGGAGCATAATAGCTGATTGATAGAGCATAATAGAGCTGTTTCCTGAGAATTGCAGCATAGCATAATAGAGCAATTTTAGAGCATAATCCGCCAAACCCTAGTCATCGACCCATAACCATTTATGAATGAAGACTGTGAAGCTCAAGCTGTATTGATTGAGACTCCAGTTGCTGCTGTTCCTCAGGTAAAGCTTTATTTCTCCTATTATTTTAGCTACCCAGACAGGTCTTGAAGAGGATTCGTGCCGGCTGGATTCCGCAAGAAGAGACAAACCGTTGGAGTGATTTTGAGCAGAAGCAGCACGCCCTCTCTCAGCTCAAGGCTCTCCAGAGACTTATCCAAGAGAACCTAGATCAAGTATCTGCTGCATTGAAAGCTGACCTCAACAAAATCAGTTTAGATTTAGGCTTCTATTTACAATTGCAATGGGCAGCCAAAAATTAATGATTTTTTAGTGGTAATTTTACATTATTTTTGGACCAGTGTTGGTGATGCATTAGAGTTACAGTAGTTTTGGGCATTATGCTGTAAGCGATTTCTGATGAGGTGTCCATTATTAAATTGAATCTGAGGCAATAAAATTTGGGTGAATTGAGGATATTTTGGTCAAATTTTGACCTTGTGCATTTTTAAATTTTTAGTTTGCATACTATACTTAATTCTACAGAGCCCCATAAATATTAAAAACTAAAATTTTAGCTCAATTTGCCAAATCCTTCTCAGAATTTTACGCAACCAAATTTTCTAGCTATACAGTATTTTTATGATAAAATAATAATTGTGGTTCTTTATAGAATGAATTTGAGTCAATAGCGGGAGAATGCAATGGTAGTCCTTGCCGACATTATTGAAGCTATAAGAGACTTTCACAAGTGGACCGCCCCCCAATATGTCGCTAAGGGCATGGCTAACATGATGGACGATTGCTACATGAAACCAGATCTTCTTGGAGTTGGTCTTATCATTGGAGCTTGGAATTATCCGTTCCACTTGGTCATGCTACCTCTAGTTGGAGCTATTGCAGCTGGTAAGGAAAGAAGAGAGAGAGAAAAAAGGCTATTGTGTTTTATTGTAGTCTGAGTGCAAATAAGTTACCATGTAAACTGTATGCATGTATTTTACCAAAAATGGCTCTGAGAGAATTCTCCAATTCTATTTTTTTCTAATACAAGTTTGAGCTTATTCGAATTAAATTTTGATTTTTTAAAGTTGCTCAGAAATCAGACTAAGGACCCTGTACTATTATAGTACAAGGTATTTTTTAGCACATGACCATAGTACATTGCACATGGCTATTGGCCAAAAAATTTGGTCTGGCATAAGCATTACTAATTTTATCATCATTTCTGTCATCATGCAGGGAATGCTATCATTGTAAAACCCTCAGAGCTGTCCATAAACACTTCCAATCTAGTGTATGACCTTATTCCAAAGTACCTAGACAATGTAAGTTACAACAGTATAAAATTATCTTTTAAATTAATTATTTCATTTTTAGGATTTTTATGCAGTTGTTACTGGAGGAGCTGATGTAGCCCAGTGCCTCTTAAAGGAGAGATTTGATCACATATTCTATACAGGAAGTACTCACGTTGGCAAGATTGTAATGAAAGCAGCTGCAGAGCATTTGACACCTGTAATGTTAGAACTTGGAGGGAAAAGGTATCACAGAAAACATATCATACTTTAATAATCTCTTCTCACTAGTCCTGTTATTGTTGCTGATGATGCTAACATTGAAGTTGCTGCCCGAAGAATCATGTGGGGCAAACTAACCAACGCAGGTCAAATTTGCATTGCTCCCGACTATGTGCTGTGCTCGGAGAGTATTCGTGATCGGTTTGTTGACAGCTGTAAAAAAGCAGCAGAGCAGTTCTATGGAAAGGTACAATGCAATACATCTATATGCTTTAATTAGCTTAAATTCTATTATTAATAAAATGAACACAGTCAAAAAATTTTGCTATTAAAAACTCTCTACATCTAAGAAATTTTTGTATAGCCTTTTTTATTTTATTCTCACTCTCTGCATATTCCTATTAATTAGTTCAGTTAATTGGTGCCTTTTTGGCTTTTAGGATCCTTCAAAATCTCCAGATTATGCTTGCATTATTAATACAAGACACTTCAAGTAGGAGGAAGACTAGCTATTATTATTTACTGTCTCTTTCCCTTTCATCCTTATCCCAAGGCGTATCACTGGTCTTATGGAAGCAACAAAAGCTACCTGTGTCTCTAAAGTAGTCACTGATGAGGACCAGAGATACATATCGCCTGCTTTGTATGTTGGAGTGACAGAGGATGATCCCCTTATGAAGGAAGAGATATTTGGTCCACTCCTTCCAGTATTGACAGTATCAAGCATTGATGAAGCTGTCCAATTTACTATGAGAGGTAATAATTAATGACACTATAGCTGTATGGGTTCTGTAATTCTTGCATGGCAATCAGAAGTGCTGTATAACACAGTAGTGAAATTAGCACAAAAATAAAACTGGCATAATTATCAGCTGTCATATATTAAGACCTAATTGTAATTGACCAATTCAGATTGCTTGGTTCATAAATAACTTTCTTGCGACAAAATTTTTTGGAAGTTATAAATTGGCTGGAGGTGAATAAGTAGTTAATATATAAAGTTAATAATAAATGAGAGGGAAATAAATGATTTAAAAAATTCCTACAATTAATGTATTCTGTGTAGAGAGAAGCCGCTGTCTTTCTATGTATTCACCGAAAACAGCAAGACTTTTCATTACATATCAAGTCGCACTAGCAGCGGCTCTCTTGTTCAAAATACTGTCCTCTTTCAAATTGGAGGTATGTCTAATCCTTGTTATTTACAATACAAGTAGCGGCTGTTTTTTAGTTAATACTCTTCCATTTGGCGGTGTCGGTAACAGTGGTATAGGAGCTTACCACGGCAAGCACACCTTCAATACATACTCACACATGAAACCAATTCTAAGGACTGGAACCAAAATGGACTTTCTGCTAAAGTGCATTTAAATATTACTATTTTATTTTATGTTAATGATAGGGTGATCTATCCACCACACAACAAGTCAAAGATAAAGCAGTTTAACTTCATCCAGCTGCCCTCATCCCACCAATGGAGTCTTCGGCCTTATCTTATAATTCTACTTGTAGTCATGATAGCAGCTACTGTTAAGGTATTATTAGGGACAAAGAGAGAGAGAGGAAGTTGTGAACTTTTCTTTACATATTATTCTTATAACAGGTTTACGGACTGCCCAGTTATATGTATAAGTTCTTCTGATCCAGTGATACAATTTTTAAAATGCAATTTTGTATACTTTGCTATTGAAACCTAATATATGATGTTGTGTCTAAATTTTATCTTGCATTGTTTGTGTATTATATAAAATGATTTATAAAATGCTTAAAATTGTATGAATGCTAAATAAAGATTAACAAAAATCCAATTACACATTGGGTATTACATATAATAGTAGCTAAATCCTGTAGATATGAGTTAAAAGTCATTCTCAAAGTAGTCATCAGTATCACTGTCAAAGAAATCCAACTTAACTTCCTCAATGTGATGAGTATGCTTGCGAGTTGATCTACGTGTTATGCGGGCTCCTTTGAATTCTATGTCTCCAATACTTTTAGGTGTTGCATCCACTCGATTTTCATTTTCAGACAGCGAAGGAAGAAATGGAGTAGGAAGAGAAGGAGGGAGAGAGGAATAATCACTGCTGTTTTTAGAAAAATCACTGAAGTCTGATTTTTTATCTATCATTGTCTTTTTATCAGAGGAAAGATGGCATTTTGATGTCTTCTGTTTGTTTTCTATAGACCATGGACACAATAGGGATTTCCATGCTGCTCTTGCATCACTGCTCAGCACAACAAAGAATATGAATATGAAGAATCCTTGGAAAGCATTGAAGAAAGCAAATAAGAACTGAAGGGTATAGGAAACTCCAGGCTCAGAAATAAAAGTGAAGATACCAAAGATCCATGTCAAACCAAGGAGGAACATTATACCAGTGAAAGACAGTATCATTTTGACTGCTTCCGATGGAGTCATTGTTGATTTTCCTTGTCGCTGTTTCTTCCTCACAGTATGCAAGATAAGAACTCGAAGAATAAGAATGTACATGACCAAATTAAATATGAGAATGAGAAACACTGGAACTAGAAATGTTGTGAGAAATACTGTTAAGTGTCCTAAAAAGCAACTGTAGAAAAAACAGTATAAATTAATTTGTCTGTCACTTTGCATTGAACTTACAATCCAACTTGATCATTAGTGTTACTATAGAAAGTAATATAATAATCTTCCTTTATTGATAGGACAATTATGATTGGTAGTAAAGGAAGAGCTACAAAAATAAAGCAAAGTAAAAAAAAATTATAAATCACTTACTCCAGCAAATGACTGATAAAACAAGAAGATACTTTATTGTTATATTTGAGAATACAACAACTATTTTTTTAAACATTAGTACAGCCTCAGCTCCCATCCACATCCATGATACAAGAGCAAAGTAATGAATGAGAACACCAACTGTTATACAACCAGCTCTCACTGATACTCTATCAATACCAACAACAAATACTATTAACATGAAAATCAACGAGAGACAGAGTTGAATGTGAAACTTGCTAGCATCTCTCTGTCTTAATGACCTGATGAATCATAAATTAAAAGGACAATAATGATATAAACAAACTTGAATATCAGTAATGTTAGTATTGTTAGTACTAGTCCTAATAGTGAGAGAGATACACCAACATATGATACAATTTCTAATGCAACAGTTACAGTATGTGGTGGAACCATAGTGCCACCAATTCTAGATGATACAATTTCTAATGCAACAGTTACAGTATGTGGTGGAACCATAGTGCCACCAATTCTAGATGAAGTATCCTATTAAAAATGAGTAAAAATAAAGCCACTTAAAATATATCATGTACTCTTACCACAAGGCAGGCAAAGTTGTCAAATGATTACAGGAACATGTTACAGTGTCATTAGTATCAGGATCAACTGTAGTAGTACAATTAACAATAGACCAGTTACCTCTACCATCTATAAAATTTGAAATTTAATGTAATGATTATAATAGTCTACCTGCTGCTGTAAAATCCCAGTAAACACAACGATGATTTGTTGCATTCTATAAAGAACATCATCATGTCACAATATTCAATTTAGCTTACTTCAACTACTATTCTCAAGTTAACAGTGACATTATCAGATAATACAGTACCATCAGGAATACCACCCACACTGGCACTAATGACTGATGATCCTACAACAGTATCAGGAACTGAGTCACGAATAGGAAACAATGTAGACTGAGTGTATAGGGTAAATGCTAAATTAATATCATCTGCTGTAGTCTCATTGCTAATGCTAGTTGGTAATGATATGGTAGCTAGATCCAATTCATCTAAACTTGAAAACTTTGATAGTTCAACTGTATCAACCAAAAGAGATTCATCTACCAAAACAAGAGCAATTAATGTAAAATGCATAGACTATTTTTTATAGTTACTCATACTTGATGAAGACCCAATGAATGTTATTCCATTAAAATTAATTCTCTGAATCTAGCAAACAAAGTGGATGTGTAATAGAGTCCAGTGATTGCCTTACTCTTAGTCCCTGGAATGCAATGCCAGTTTCAATGATTGTCAAGTTAGTAAAGTTCTCTTGACTTATCAATGCATCCACTATCCTTTCAAATGACTGGACAATACTAAAAATACAATCAATTGATCATTTTTCAAACACTAGTCATACTTATTTGATTGATTAGCTACTACTTGTGGTGGCCATTCTTGTACACTATCAAGTATTTCAACAGTACTCTCTGTTGTCTAGTAGAGAATATACAAAATCATTGCTCAGAACAAAAGAATTTTTTACCATAGAAACATCTTCAATTGATAGTAAAATAATGAATCTAAAGCTAGAAAACACATTAGCAGATTCATTGAGGACTGATGCCACACTGAGTAGATTAATGTCATTCTGGTCCACACGCTCTGTAGTCATGTCAACCAAATCTGAGAGATTCTGAGTAACTTCTACAACATTATTCACATTCACATCAGCCTATGCAATGAATAAATCAAAATAATGAGCTAATGCTTATACAAAAAATAATGCAAACATGAGCCAAAAAGTAAATTTTGTCTCCTACACCAAATAAAATGCAGTAACTTACTTCAGCTAAAATAGTGAACTCATCAGTTATTCTAGAACTGACACAGCTACTTATGTTAGGAGAACCCCATACACCATTACTTCTACATTCTCTAGTAGCAATAGCCCCAATAGGACTACAAGGACAAGGAAGGCTTGCTAATACCCCAGTTGATGTCACAGGCCATTCAAATGTACCATGATCATTAACTATAGTCTGACTGGGACAATTATTGCCTATAAGTTAAAAAACATATGAAAACAAACATTATAATTAGATCCATATGAATTTTAAATTTACTTGTTTCACATTGAGTGTAGTCAGGATTTTCCCAACCAGTTCCATTAATCTGGCATAATCGTGTGACATTATGTCCAGGACGATTAGAACAAGGCAAAGCAAGTACCACAGTACCAACTGACTCACTCCATGTATGAATGCCATACTGAAGTGAAACCGTCTGATTATAATTGCAAAATCCATTAACTAGTAAAACATATGGCAATAATAATGATGATTATAATTGTTGATGATGATGTTGATGATAATGATAATAATAATAATATTATTATTATTATTATTATTATTATAGGCATTTTGAGTCAATATTGTACCATTTGTTGCTAGGTCTTGAAAGTTAGGATTATCACGAGCTCCATTTACAAAAGCTTGACTAACACTTTGCACAAATGAGCTGTTTATTGGTGGATGCTCTCTTACATTGCATTCAAAGCGACCAAGGGAGTTATTTCCAATGTGAGGTGGTGTCCTATAGATATGACAAAAATAAAAGTACTAGCATTACAATACTTCAAATAATATTGGTTCTTACAGTGGAACAGAACTACAGGATATGGTTCTGATAGGATCAGTCGTTAAATTTAAGCCAAGTGAAACCAAGAAGAACATCTATAAGTAACAGAACATAAAGATTAATTTGTCAATACTTTGTTCAGTAATGATTTGGATGCATAATCAGGCTTTAATATTACCTTCCCCTCAAGGACTGCAAGTCTATAATCTTCATTATTCACATTTGTAATATTAGAAAGCAAAGCAGTGAGCCTGACAAATAATTGAGCAAAAGAGCCACTTGGACCTAAAACAACACATATAAACAACAATGTTAAACTTGATACACAAGATTAGCACTGCAACACAAAAAATTATAAGAATTCTTTCCTAGCAATTTGTGGCAAAATATCCTATATCTTATACTTTGGCCCAATTTTTAAGCAACTTAAAAAATTTATAAAAAATCTAATATTTATCAGAATGAGCTAAAACTTTTTATACAACATTAGTACATATATATGTATCAAAAAATTTTTAAATTGATAAATCTCTCCTTTTATTATTTGGAAAAGTTTGCACAATGTCCCTGTACTATAGTACAGGGATGTTACCTAATTTGTGAGCAACTTAAAAATTCAATTTTGAGATACATTTAATTATTATTATCACTTAAACTATCACTATTACATTAGCATGATTAGTCACATGTTATAACATTTTTTACATACTTCTAACACTGACATCCACAGCTTGGCTCTCTTGTCCAGATCTACACGTATATGTACCAGCAATGCTTGAATTGGGTAGAATAACATCTCCTTCTGTATTAAGGTAAAATCTCAATATAGATACTCCCAGTCCCAAATTGGGCACTAAAAAAAGTTGTCTAAAGTCTTGAGCAGAGACTCCGTTGACAAGGTTCCTGCTACCGTCACTTGCCTTTGTGAAACTTGAATTAGTGAATTGGCTTTCCTCCAGAACTACTCAATATAAAGAATTAATGTAAAAGGTACAAGTTCATTGATTCTATATAGTTTACCTGGATTGCCATTTGAATCAAGCCATGTAACTGAGTTTTGCTGGTTTGAATGACACGACAGCACAAAGAAGTATCTATCATTTATTGCGTAAGAATTATTGCGAATCCTTCCATTAGAACCAAAGATACTAAGTTCTGTTGAAAAAATGTAAAAAAGAGGTACATTGTTGTTTCATGAGCCACACATAATTTAGTCAATATTGCATATGGATTTCAGAACAAACAAGCTACAGCTACTCATAAATGGTAAAGGAATGGCACAAATTAAGAACAATGTAAATACTAAATAGCCTAATACAGGCCATTCTAGATATTAAATGAGTGGATGGCTTCAATGGAATTTTAATGTACTGACAGTAAATAAACAAAAAATACCCTCAAACATAATAGAACAACAACAGTTTCATTATGCACTCTAAAAGGCAAAAAAGCCTTGCAGTGTACTATTATTATTTTGAAAAACAGCTTTTGAAATGATTCTTTTGTAAATCAATAATTGTTGCTTTCAATGCTGTATAAATGATGCATGGCATATTCGGCTACAAAATTGCTATGATATACAGTTTCAATGTACCCTCCCCTTTAGGCTATATAATGTACATTTGATACAAGGCATTGTAAACACTGTAGGGTCTTCATTTTCTTGTTATAATGTGCACATGTATGCATGCAAGCAAAACAATTAAGCTACAGTTGAGAACTACATGAGCTAGCTTACGTGATTCTCCAGTCCTTATTACAGACAAAAGCAGAGCTACTGTTATTGCACAAGAGAGCAAAGGAGACATGGTCTTTAACAGCAAAGCAACAGGAATGAACTAACCAGAACTTTACACATTCAATAGATTTAAGTACTGTACTATTATAGAAACCTTATAGCTTATTGCACACCCACTCACAGCTGTAATGTATTTTGATGTCATAGATAGGCAATCTCACCTCCTCAATGACTGTAGTCTGGGGAATGGTCTGGGCAGCAAGACTAATAGATAGGCTATATAGGTAGATCTATTTGGTATTTCCTTACAGGGATGTATTTGTGGCTCCAATTATTGACTATGCATGTATATCATTATACTTTCCACTAGATCTATGCATTTATGAGAAACTTGTGCCTGTTTATTGAGCTAAAGTCTGTTTTCTTTAATTAAAAAAAAGGACAAAGTAAAAAGGGTAAAACACACAACAACTAAACTAAAATGGGAAAAATAAAAAGTTTCTTAGAATTGTTTCTCATCATCATCATTATCATCATCATCATCAAAGAAATCCAATTCAACTTTCTCCACATGGCGAGTGCGCTTACGAGTTGAGTGACGTGTCACACGAGCTCCTTTGAGTGCAATCAGATCCAAATCCTGAGACAACTCCTCCTCATTCTCTTCAAGCAGAGAAGGAAGAGTAGCATAATTGTTATCTTCAGCCAACTTATTCATAACAGACTCTGTATTCAAAGTATTTGATTTCATGCCGTAAGAACTTGATGAGAGTGTCCCTGATGCTTTAGCTTTCTTGCTGGAGGATAGATTGTATTTAGATGTTTCCTGTTGATCTTTTTTGAAGCATGGACACAATAGGGATTTCCATGCTGCTCTTGCATCACTGCTCAGCACAACAAAGAATATGAATATAAAGAATCCTTGGAAAGCATTGAAGAAAGCAAATAAGAACTGAAGGGCATAAGAGACTCCAGGCTCAGA